TCATGTTGTTCCAAACTCACATGTTTATTTTCCTTGCTATGGCATTTAATAGTGTCCTTCAAGTGTCAAAAATGTCTAAATACACTAAAAAAGTATCATAAAGAAGTCTATATGACATGCTCTATATTCCATGCCAAAGAAAAGTCATACGATAACTTTGTGTGAAGAGCATTTATCAATGAATAATGACTTCTCAGAAGAAAAGAAAGCCATACATTTTTGGAACGATATAAGAGTGAATAAGTAATGACAAGTCAATTTTGACTTGAACATTCAGTTTTATAACTGACAATCGTATCATGTTGAATATTTGTGTAATATTTTTAAAAGATGCCAATAAATAAGAACAGAACTGACAGGCAGCACAAAACTGTAAAATATGACAATGTGTATGTAGAGTTTGAAGACCTGTTTGTAACAGATTTCAATTAGTGTACAATACTTTTACAAACAAAGGCAAAAAGCACATACAAATATATTTAGAGAAAGCTACAAGCTGAGAACTACAAGGACACCTGTTCACATATACAAAATCCTCTCCAATTTTTTTTTTTATCACATAGTAATATGCTACAATCTCACTAAGTATGTTCACATGCGCAGTTATAATCGAGCAAAAGCGCATGTAAATGTACTTGGTGATCTAGTGCCCAGTCGTAGCCATGGATTCATTGCATTGCTTAAATCTCCTAAACAAATTTAGAAAAAGGCACATAGATGCTTCACATATTGTGATGCTGGTCCCATATAGGTACTGATACCATGGAATGCTGCGGATGACCCTTGTTTTGGTTTGCCAAGTCCTATAAATAAGGCAAAATTCATTGTGACTTTTCAAACTGTGTTTCCAGATTGTATACTACCATACTATAAAGTCTAATTACTAGGAGGAAATTTCATCATAAATTCAGACATGAAGACGAGTTGATAAACTTCAGGAGAGGCAGTAACTACAAACTGAATAGCACTCAGGGAGGCATGTACAATAATACAGATTTTCCAGCTGACACAAATCACAAGTTTACAAGTAGCTGATCTCCAGTGAGGTGTTCTTTTCCACCGGTTCCTCTGGCAGTGTTTTCACATTCCCATGTTTAGCCCCGTTCAGCAGGGTTGCAGCAGGTCCAAAGCCTGGTCCTTTACCAAGAACATCCATGCCCGTGCCTCTCCTGTCTGGGGAACATGTCTCAGAAACCCCTGTACCCAATGGTCTCTCTAAGACAAGCGCTCGGGTACTTTCAGGTTGACCGCTTCCATTTCCATTCTGAGTAATCCTGCAGATTTCCGTCATCTCCGTCACTTCCTCCCTGTACTCTTCCTCTTCCTCATCCTCTTCATTTCTCACTGCTCTTCTAAGGCTTTCCCTGGGCATCAGCACTCTTCTTCGTTCCTCTTGATTCTGCTGCTCGGTGGGCTCGTGGTTCTCGACCCTTCGAGATGAACGGCACAGAGCCTTTCGAAATCCCCGTTTGAAGTTGTCCGAAAGGAAGCCGTACACAATAGGGTTAGCGCAGCTGTTAGCGTAAGACAATACCACCACAAAAAGATGCAGACCTTGGGGCTCATCACGCAGTGATTCCACCAGGTTTATGATGTTGAGGGCATAAAACGGCATCCAGCAGAAAACAAACACAGCCACTACTATCACCACCATTCGCGTGACTTTGCGCTCCGATTTGCGCCGTTTGGTTGAAGTGGCGTGAACCTTCTTTCCCGAGCTGCGAATTTTTATCACAATTAGGAGATAGCACATGCAGATGACTAGCAAGGGAAAGAAAAAGCCAACTGTGGAGGTGTAGATTATAAATGCTGCTCCCCAGATGTTGGCTGGCTCTGGCCATATGATGTTGCAGATGCCTCCTTCCCGTTGCACATTTGCAAAAATCACCACTGGCAAGACTACCAAAAAGGAGACCGCCCAGATTGTTGCATTCACTGCCTTGGCCACCCGTGGTCGCCTCCATTTAGAGGACCGAATAGGATGAACCACGGCCAGGTAGCGATCAATGCTCATCACGGTGAGGCAGAAAATGCTGGTGAACTGGTTAATGCCATCAACGGTCATGACCAACCTGCACGTGAATGAGCCGAAGGGCCAGGAGTGCATGGCGTTCTGCACAGCGAGGAACGGAAGGCCCAGCATGAAGAGCTCATCGGCTATAGCTAGATTCAGGATGTAGATGTTAGTCACTGACTCTGTCTTGGAGTAGTGCAGGACGATGTGAATGACCAGTGAGTTTCCTCCCAGGCCAACGATGCAGACAATGATGTAAATAAGAGGGATGAGGATTCCTGCCATGCTTGTTCCGGCTCGGTTCCCTGCATCTCTCCCATTAGTGCAGTTTGAAGCATTGAGGAAGCAAGTGTCATTGAGAATGCTCTCATTAAGGAGGAAACCAGGAATGGAGCCATTGGCCCATAAGCCCAGCACAGCAGAGGCGTCTACTGAGGTCAGCTCCATCTCAGTCTCTTGCCGTCACTGCCTTCAGCTGGGGGCCATTGTCCTGCACAGAGGACAACCACAAACTATCATTGCTCTCTCAATGCACTCTCACATACAATAAATGCATAATCTACAGACAAAAGCACCATTGTTAGGAAGTTTCTTTTACACTGTTTTTGCAAATCTGAATCTAGCTTACCAAGTGAAAACATACAATAGACTAAACCAGTGGTTCTCAACCTTTCTGAATCCAACAGCCAAGACAATATTCAACAGCCCACATTTATTTAATGCCAGAAATGACAAAGACGCCTTTTTAAATTTCATTAAAACATGAATTTTTTTTAACATTTATTTTTTGAAAATTTTAAACAAAAAGTAACCTAAATAATGATTACTATATGTCTATTAATTAGATAATATATATAAAAAAGACTAAAACATTAATTAAAGTAAAATTAAAAACAATAAAGTACATACAAGTACACGCAGGACTGCTGTAAGAAGACCTAAAAAAAATCTAATTCACTGTGAGCAGGGAACGTGTGTACCGCTCCGCAGGAGGGGGCAGGTGTTGAATGAAACTTGGAGTAGTGGGAAAATTGGTCCACAAAGACCTCTGTGCTGCAGTGGAAAAAAAATGATTGAGAGCTCAGTGCATGGTGCATTTTCATCTGAAAGAGAAATATGTTCAGATCTTGTTTTTTAACATTAAATTAAAGCAGAAATTTTAATTACAAAATAGTATTAGTTATTTTTTGTTTTATTTTTTTATTTTTTTATTTGCTACCTTTGAAATTTACTTTCCAGAGGCACCCTGGTTGGGAACCACTGGACTAAACACTGGTCAAATGACAAGAAAAGGGATAGCAGAGAACAGTTCACCATAAAAACACTCACATGGCTCACAGAGTTTTGGATGGTGTTATTTTTGTCCCTTAGGCAATCAGGCATGCCAATTATCCTGCATATGTGAGATGCTCAGTAGAGAAAACTCTGCATCAGCAGTACCTTACTAAACCATTAGAATGGCAGCATTTCTAAACATTAGCACTGCATATATTTGAAATATGTAAAAAAAAAAATGCGAACAAATATGCCAATTAAATTGTAAAGCAAAGCATAATAGAACAGAAGAAAGGCTTGCTATACTGCACTCTAAAAAATACTGGGTTGTTTCAACCCAATGTTGGGTCAAATATGGACTAACCCAACTGTTGGCTTAAAAAGTTAATTTAAAAATGTAACCAAAATTTAACCCAACAGTTGGGTTAGTCCGTATTTGACCCAACATTGGGTTGAAACAACCCAGTATTTTTTAGAGTGTGGGAATAGTAATATAAAAGACATAATTAATGTTCCATATGTCTTTGTTGAAATGGAAAAGCTTTGTATATAAGATATTCACACCTGCCTCTCTCCATTTATATTTCATTTCTCTTTCTCACTCTTTCTGTCTCCTTTCCAATTACATCCAGAAGCAGAGAATAGGGAAGATAAATTGACTCTAGACCACGGTGGAAGTCAAACAAAGAGGCAGGTGAAAACATGCAGAGAAGAACTGCCATCATCATGTTCTATATAGGTTTAATGTAATCTAGGCTCAGATATGACCATAAATTAATTAAGTTTAATTAAAGTTGTAGATAAAATGGAAGACATTGCACACCAGCAAACTTTTTGATTAAAGAACAACTGTTGAAAGTTGTAACGTTGTTGACTTTTACTGTACTTCATTATTTGAAGCTCGCTGCTATTGAACAGAGAAGACAATGTCAACATTTAAGAATGAAGGCAGCTAATGATGTTACATGAATGAAAGCCAGTTCATTATGAAAATATCTATAGAGTTGCAAAGATTTGTCCCCTAAAAACAGATGAAAGTAGTATTCATTGTCAGTGCAATGTTGAAATGCGGGGGGAAATTAATGCAGAATAGAATAAAAGTGCAAGTCGAACAAAGAGAATAATAAGTGAAAAGAGATAAAAGCAAGAGAAGAAAGGCTGTGATCTTTTAAGTCTATGACATTCATATGGCTGCACACTCGTAACCTTCATGATTAAATAGCTATCCAAACCATCAAAAACATTTTTCTGGCTCCGGTTTTGCTTAAAAAACTTCTCAGATGATCAAATGATTGAATTCATTAAGACTAAGTGTGCAAGCAATGCTTTTTGCAGTATTTTAAAGTTAATTGGTTCTTTTAAAAGAACATGAATCAAAGGAGAAAACCTTTATGTCTTTTTAAGCTTTATAATGATTGCACCACAAGCTGATTTTGTAGTATAATAGATAAACCATTATTAGTAGTTAGTAGTGCTAACAGTATATTTTAAAGCTTTAATGCCCACCATTTACATGATCTCTGCATATTTAAATGGAGATTGGCAGCCCATTATACCATACATGGTGTGATTTTTGCTGTTCTATGCGCTCACAAGTATTTTTTTTGTCCATTGGGAGAAATCGCATGTCAAGCATTGATGCTCGTATGATCGCGGCTCGCATCGTGTGAGGGGAATTACAAGCCAAACCAAGTACACACTGGCTTCCATGTTTTATGAGGATGTAATGGTTTAACTGTACAAACTGTATTTTCTATTTCCTTACCCTAACCGTGTCCTAAACCTACCCCTCACACAACACTTTCTGCATTTTTAGATTTTCAAAAAACTTTGTCTAGTATGATTTTTAAGCTGTTTTTCAGAGACCAAAAATATCTGCACAAAGTCAAAATTTACTGGTATTATATCCTTGTGGGGACATTTGGTCCCAATAATGTAGGGAATAGCAGGTACACACTCACACATTCAAATAGACTCAAATAATTTTGTTCTCCACTCTTCAGAAAAGACACAGTTGAGTTTTTATTTTCTTTTTCTGTCTAAAGCAATAGGAGGAGCATCATTGACAACTCTGACCTCTGTTTAGTGCAAAAGCTCCCACAATTGCCACCTTGCAGTACAAACTGCTTTGACACAATTATCAGGTTACCGTGTGCAAGGGCTCACGACCTCCCGAGAATCTGAACTCGCACAGTATGCCTGGCTTTAGACTCAGACGTCATTTTAAAATTACTTGACATGAGCTTAATATATAATTAGATATTTTTTTCAAAACTGAGAAAGATACTTTTTTTGAAAGGCTTTGGACAATGGTGAGAGCAATGCATAATTCATCATTCAACACTGTGCCCATCTCCCTGTACTTTTCTTCTCCCCTTCCATCTCATTACTTTGTAGACAGAGGCTTGTTCGGCTCTGAGAGGTCAGTATTGTTTGAACGGATGCTCACTTTAATCTGTCTTCTCTAACCCACGGACCCATGGGAGCCATTCATCCATTCAGTGGTTCATCTGATTATATGGTATTTGTTCACAAGTGCTAGATAAGAACAATGATGTCTGTATACTACAGCCAACAAAACCATCAATTAATGAAAGACACAATTTCATTTAATGTATTGGTTTTGAGAGATGCTTGACTCGGTGCACTAGGGCTGGACAATTAATATAATTTTCACAATTAGCTAATTGCTAAAATTGTCAATTACAGCATTCCATTTGCATCTATTCTCATCATTCCAAAATGTTTACAGCATGTTTACTTACAGTGCTAACCAATCACAGACATCTTTGTTGTATACGGATGAATGCGATGGCCCATCAAAAGGCTTTTAAATGAGTCTTTAAGCTTATCAATAATGACAACCGGTCCTAATGAGTGGGTTTTAAGCAGTCTGATCCATAGAAGCATGTTTAATGTTTCCTTTTTATACATTTAGAGATGAACATTATCAGAGAAGCCCAAAAATTATTCTAGTTTCTTCACTGATTAGAGAAGGAGGATACTTCATGTAACGAACTTAAAAATTATTTTAATGACTGTTAAAGCATTGATTCGGAGCGAAATAACCTGCAGACAGTTTGCTGCATCTGCTGTTTTTAGCAAAGATCACAAATTTCAAGGGTGCTGACAGCTGAGTTAATTGCAAATTTTTAGAGGGGCTGAGATGAAAGACAGGGGGTCTAGCAATGCCATTGCCTGACACTTTAGAACCAAAGTGAAAACCATTGGCAGTAATCTGATTTGATACATGTTGTACTGCTTGCTTTTAAAGTAGATGATGTAATACCCAATCAAAACTGCAAGTGTTCCTGAGACTGCAGGTCATCTCAAATGGTCACATGTAGCTTTACTGATTACACTCTCTTAAAAAACAAAAGCTGTCACTGGGGTGGTACCCTTTCAAAAGGCACTAATATGTAGCTTTAGGGGACCAATATGCTCCCTTTAGTGGTAAATAAGGTACAAAAGTGCATATTTAAAGGGATAACGCCCCAGTAACAGCTTTTGTACCGAGAGTGTACACAGTAATGGAATGGGATCATCGAAATGCCATTACCACCTAAAATAATTGAATGTACATTTTATTAAAAGGGGGAAAATATTTATGTAATCATGCAGCTTCCATGTTCTGAATGACTTATGATCTTCATTAGCCTGACTGACTTTAAATGGACACTCTCTATATGCTCTAATTGTATTTGATAACAGCATGCTCCTCATCAGTGAAGAAATCCAATCACCATCTTTTCTTTTCTTTTTTGACACCTGATTCTGTGGGGGGTAGCATGAGTGTCCCTTAGCCTCTTTGATATGTCAGTTCTTTGACACAGAGTTTTGCAAGTATTTGCACTGAAAGATTCTTCATCTCAGAGGTCATTAAGCTATGGTCATTTTATTTGTTTTTTTGTAAGTAAAGATGTCTGCTAAATAAAGTCACCATGTACAGTATGACTTTGTACTTTGCATCAATCATTGATTAATTAAAACTGGTTTTGAATAGATGACTAAAAAAGATCCTAGAAGTGCCATTTGAAAAGAGAAACACTAAATCACATTTATTACAATGTGAATGAAGGTGAAAGCAATAATTTCTGTTGTGAACTTTTCTGTTGCCATTTTCAGGTCAGACATAATCACTTCTATGATTTAAGATGCTCTCAGCAACTTAACACATGTATGCAAGTCAATGTAACTTAGTAAAAAAAGAATGCT